TTGAAGATAATATAATATTAGTGAAATAAAAGACCACTTAAGTGACTTAAAGAGAAGTACACTTATTTTGATGTGTTGACTAACAAACTAAAGTACATGTAAAGTACTTATAATTAATAAGTAATCTATTAGATTATAATTTTAACTTTAGTGTTATTCAATATTGCATTTAAAATGAATGTATTACAGTTAATATATAAAATGTTTAATTACAAATATATTTAAATATACTGTATATATATACCACATACAAGTTGCAATAGAAATGACATTAAAATATATTTTAGTTTATCATAAATGCTTGTCAGTACCATACTTTAACCATACTTCAAAGACAATAGAAGTAATTATGAAATTGCATATGTTCCTGTGGCTCAGTGGTAGAGGATTGTGTTAGCAAGGTCGTGGGTTCGATTCCCAGGAAACACAAATACCTGACTGCACTGAAAGTTGCTTTGGATAAAAGCGTCTGCTAAATGCATAAATTATTATGAACGTTCTGCCATATTGTGTTACCGTACTTGGTCTTAAAAGGGTCTTTAAAAAGTTTTAAATTTACCTTGATAAAGCCTCAGAAACTTCTAATAAATCATCCATGTGACTCAATCACTGAAAACGCATACATATAAATGCACACATTCTGAAGAAGCCTGTGTTTCCAGTCTAACACTGCCTTTCTCTGTCCCGTCTGTGTTCCTCTCCAGAATATAACCCGTATCAATGACATAGTCAAACAGGCGCTGCTGGTGTTCCCTCATTTCTGTTTGGGAAGAGGCCTGATGGACATGGCCAAAAACCAGGCGATGGCTGCTCTCTACCAAAACCTGGGTAAGACATTCACACGTGTGGAAAGATCGTGAGATCTGAGACGAAAGCTGATGTGTGTCTGTCTCTTCAGGTGAAGACCGCTTTGAAGATCCTCTCAGCTGGAACATGGTGGGCAAAAATCTGTTTGCCATGGCCATTCAGGGGGGCGTCATGTTCAGCCTGACCCTGCTCATCCAGTACAAGTTCTTCTGCAAACCCATGTAAGAAACACACCTTCAAGGCACAGTTCACCCAAATTGAAAATTCACTCTTAATTTACTCACCCTCAGGCAATCCAAGATATAAGTGGCTTTTTTCTTCAGTAGGGCAGTAAAGAAGATTTTTAGCTGAAACCGTGCTCCTTTGTGATTCAGAAAATAAAGTCACTGGCTGCCGTCACTTTGAGAGTCAAAAGAAGCATATATAAGCAAGACAAAATTAATACTTGTGGCTCCTGACGATATAGTGAGGTCTTATGAATCGAAACGATTCAAGATGTAAGTGACTTTTTTTTTCTTCAGTAGAACAGTAAAGAAGATTTTTGGTCCTTGGTGATTCATTAAATGCAAGTCAATGGCTACCGTCACTTTTAAAGTCAAAAAAAGCATATACAGGCAACACACAATTAATACCCATGGTTCGTGACGATATATTGAGGTCATATGAAGCGAAACAATCAGTCTGTGCAAGAAATATAATTTCATAATTATATGTAATTTCTCAGTCCTAATCACTGAGACTTTCCTGTGAACATCTGTACACTCAGACAGCTGGACTACGACTGTCTGTCCTGAATATACATGAACATACAAGTCAACCTTCGTGAAAAAGAAGAGCTTTAGCATGTACTTAAGTCCTACTTAAGTGAAAAACACTCTAAAGTTCAGCTAGACGCATTTAATATCAATTTTAATATTATACATTTTAATTTAATTGCAGTTAACATGCAGTCTGACAAGTGTCTGAAAACATTGCATTCAGTTCACACTTAAGTATGTTCTTTTAAAATGATACTTACTCTTTTAAAAGCACGCTAAAGCTCTTCTTTTTTCATGAGGGTTGGCTTGTATATTCATGTATATTCAGGACAGACGCTCGTAGTCCAGCTGTGTGGGCGTACAGATGTTCACAGGAGAGTTTCAGTGATTAGGAGTGAGAGTTTAATTGGTCCTGATCTGTAATCAGGCATTGAGAGCAGCTGTCTGTGAATCACGCGCCGCTCTGAGAGCAGACAGGTGTCAGTGCAGGAGACCCTCAAACGTCTCAGACCGCACGCGGCTTATTTAACCCTATAAAGCTACTGTATCATATTTGATACATAAAAGGCCTCTAAATGATCAACATGATCAATTCTTTGCTGTTAAACCTGTTGCACACAATCTACTCCATGTCTTCTGTCTCTGATTGATAGTTTAGAGTTTTTTATCCAGTCATCCTTTTAGTCTAATTGTACAAACGTCCAGCTTCAGCTGCTGCTTCTCGTGTCTTTCTGCTGTCAAATCTTTATTGCTTTTTTATCAAGTAAACGTCAGAATAAGTTTAGTAATATTTCCAGATGAACACTTACTGGACTGAAGCAGCTCAGCTTTACTTGATTCTCCATCAATCATGTTTTAGAGTCTCAAATCTGATCCTCAGGATCTTTTGAGGAGCGTTTGTTTCCAGAAGCTTTACTTTCACTGTTCCTCAGCGGTGGAATGATCTTCCACGCCTTCTTTCTTTGCGTGCACATTTGGGCGCATTATGCAAATATTCCCACATAGTGACCTAGATATGTGGGGGCGTGTTAGAACGAGCCGTTTTAGGGGGGCGTGGCAGAGTCTTAACTTTGATAAAGAATATCTCTTTGGTTTTGAGACTTTAGTCTTTGCAACTTCAGGGATCTTATCTATTCACGAACAGCTTGTAACGCTCCAAAGAGAAAGGAAAACTTGAAATCGCATCATATGACCCCTTTAACATTAAGAGAACGTTCTGCCATATTGTGTTACCGTACTTGGTCTTAAAAGGGTCTTTAAAAAGTTTTAAATTTACCTTGATAAAGCCTCAGAAACTTCTAATAAATCATCCATGTGACTCAATCACTGAAAACGCATACATATAAATGCACACATTCTGAAGAAGCCTGTGTTTCCAGTCTAACACTGCCTTTCTCTGTCCCGTCTGTGTTCCTCTCCAGAATATAACCCGTATCAATGACATAGTCAAACAGGCGCTGCTGGTGTTCCCTCATTTCTGTTTGGGAAGAGGCCTGATGGACATGGCCAAAAACCAGGCGATGGCTGCTCTCTACCAAAACCTGGGTAAGACATTCACACGTGTGGAAAGATCGTGAGATCTGAGACGAAAGCTGATGTGTGTCTGTCTCTTCAGGTGAAGACCGCTTTGAAGATCCTCTCAGCTGGAACATGGTGGGCAAAAATCTGTTTGCCATGGCCATTCAGGGGGGCGTCATGTTCAGCCTGACCCTGCTCATCCAGTACAAGTTCTTCTGCAAACCCATGTAAGAAACACACCTTCAAGGCACAGTTCACCCAAATTGAAAATTCACTCTTAATTTACTCACCCTCAGGCAATCCAAGATATAAGTGGCTTTTTTCTTCAGTAGGGCAGTAAAGAAGATTTTTAGCTGAAACCGTGCTCCTTTGTGATTCAGAAAATAAAGTCACTGGCTGCCGTCACTTTGAGAGTCAAAAGAAGCATATATAAGCAAGACAAAATTAATACTTGTGGCTCCTGACGATATAGTGAGGTCTTATGAATCGAAACGATTCAAGATGTAAGTGACTTTTTTTTTCTTCAGTAGAACAGTAAAGAAGATTTTTAGCTTATACCCTGGTCTTTGGTGATTCATAAAATGCAAGTCAATGGCTACCGGCACTTTGAGAGTCAAAAAAAGCAACACAAAATGTATACTTGTGGCTCCTGATGGTATATTGAGGTCTAAACGAACGGTCAGTCTGTGCAAGAAACTGAACATTATTTACAACATTATTATTACCGGTAATCCGCGCCTCAGGCAAACGGTCTGGTGTGATGTCCGGTTCACGAACGAATCATTCTTTTGAAACGGTTCTTTTTAGTGAACTGGATGAACCAATTCATCAAATCAGACTGAAGCGTCTGAAACGGTTCACGGCTCAAGCAGCGCAGATTTACACGCTACTCAGTCAAAACTCACTTTCGGACGCCTGACTCAAAATGAGCCATTACAGCGGCGTATCTGATCCTCTGGAACTGATTCAGCTCTCCAGTTCCTCCAGCAGTCACTGAACTGAGGAAACAGTTCGACTCGGACCGAAGACCGATGAGCTGCTGATATGCGCATGCGTGAACCGAACACTTGAATGAAGGTTCATTATCGGGTGCTTTCAAGCCTCTAGAACATCTTCTGAGGAGACTTTATTTCTTCATCATTGCATTGCATTGCATTATATGTTTGGATAATTTCAATCTCAGCTTACTAAAACATGTTAAGAGTTCTAGAGTGACGACTGATATTCATATAATTTATGTCAGTATCTGCTATACTGTTATAAAGATCTCATTGATTTACATTACATGCATCAGAATTTCATCTTACTTTTTGTCAATATAAGTATATAAATATCAGCATCTGCACCAAATTACACATTTTTGAGCAGTTTGAGTCTCTGAATAAAATTAAGCTGTTTTCCCCTCCATATTCTCACTATATCAGACTACATGAGCCAAAAAATAATGATGTATTAAATATAATACTCAACAGAAAAACACAAATGCAAATGCCAAGACTATATTTCAGACTAGATCAACTAGAAATAGGATTTTAAGCACCTTTGATATAGGGGGAATTCAAGTAAATTGGGACACTTTTTTCATTGAGATGACTGGGGAAAAATGGCCCAATTTTGCACTATAAAGCAATATATGTCCCTCTCTTTCTAATAAATGGCATTTAGCTGTTGCAGTAATTCCAGTGAAAACATCTCACCACCAAAGTCAACAAATAATATGGACTTGTCTGTGTGCACAGGGGTGTCGTCAAGCTGGTGTAGAAAAACACCCTTCATAAAGTGTTGCAACAAAATCTAAAGCACACAATTCCCTTGATTTCATCATTTTATGTGTAGCATTAAGGTTTGTCCTCATGGAAATCACTGGAAGCTGTTAATTAGAAGTCGTCCACATGCTTTTGGCCATTTAGTGCATTTTCAACACCATTTGGGATACATCTGTCTCGCTTTGGCATATCATATGAGATGGATGGTGGGCACATTGGGATTCAATCCATATGTTTGCAGCCACAGCATCTCTGAAAACAATGCTTACACGAGTCTGTTTCAAGCTGTTTTCCAGTCACGCAGTGAGAATATATTCATGTTCTGCAGGTGCATCTGAGTGAACTCTGCCTTGTTTTTCTTGTTGCATCTCACAAGTGCTGGACTGAATTTCTCCACCGAGTTGTCGTGGGATTTGAGAGGGCTGGTCAGAGTGATAAACCTCTACAGCTGTCCAGTAACGTCCAGCAGTTTCCTCACAGACGTGGCACATATGTAGTACAGCACACCAGCCTGTTCCTAACGCACCACCATCTGCCTGAGCAAGCTAATGAGCCTCTACTCGCTAAGAAGAAACCCTTCATTAGCTGCTGAATGGACGCTAAGTACCATATGTGGAGATGAACTGGTCATTGAGGGCTTTTTAGATCTTTATTATGCCTCTTCTTTACAGAAGAACTCACACTGTTTCCCTCAGTGCATCATTCACTTCCTACTGCTTTGTTTATTTATTCTGTTGATGCTTTGTTGAGTTTTTTTCCCAGTTGCTTTTTCTTTTTATCTTTGTCTTCATCTCTGTTATTCTAATGCATGCTCTAAGCAATCATATTACAGTTTTCACCTAGCTATTGATAAAACAGGTGCACAGCTCTGGTTTCTAGATATGACTCTGGTCTCATATATAGAGACGAAATTTTTCACCTGCTTTATCATTGAGAATTATCACTCTGTCAACTTCGTCCAATAAAAAACAAATTAAAAAAACATACTAGCAAACACCCTAGTAACTGCACAGCAATAGAGCACAACAGTCGAGTTGTGGAAGTAAAAATCCCTTTCATTTTCTCCATAGGAATTGATTTTTAATGATAACTTACAAACCTTTAAAGACTGATTACTTTGAGCTACGAGGTTGTTAATCGTTGGTATAAATGCATTTGTTGAAGCCAACCAAACTGCATTATTCTACCTTATTTTTGAAATAATCATGTTCAACAGCGGATTTCCTGGTGAAGACTGACATTGTCTACAATTCAGCAGATCTCTTTTTAGATTCAGCTCTCCAGTTCCTCCAGCAGTCACTGAACTGAGGAAACAGTTCGACTCGGACCGAAGACCGATGAGCTGCTGATATGCGCATGCGTGAACCGAACACTTGAATGAAGGTTCATTATCGGGTGCTTTAATAATATAATTGTGTATTGTTTATGTTATGTCTTGTGTGATTATGTAAACCAATTGGTAAATCAGTGTTTTGAACCAGTTCGTTGAAACCAGTTCATGTCTGAAAGATCCAGTTTGTTGAAAATAATCAGATTTCCCAGTTTGCCTGAGGCTCTGGATAATAATGGGTAATAATGTTGTAAATAATGTCCAGTTTCTTGCACAGACTGATTGTTTCGCTTCATATGACCTCAATATATCATCAGGAGTCACGGGTATTAATTTTGTATTGCCTGTATGTGCTTTTTTGACTCTAAAAGTGACAGTAGCCATTGACTTATAAATATATAAATATCAGCATCTGCACCAAATTGCATATTTTTGCAAGTTTGAGTCTCTGAATAAAATTGAGCTGTTTTTCCTCCATATTCTCACTGTATCAGACTATATGAGCCATAAAAAAATTATCTGAGGGATAAAATATGATACTCAAACTCTTTCGATTTTCTTTTCTATTTTGTCTAAAGGTTTGATAAACTGTTCCATTTTTAAAAAGTTGGATCGTTCTGACCTCTCAGGGTTCCTGTGGAGTTGTAACACACTTTCAGAGTTTCCTCCTCACGAATGTCATGCGCTGAAGCTCTGAACTTGGACATTTCCACTGTGCTCTGGATCCACTCTGATGCTCCTCCGGCTTCACTGAGGGACCGTCGGACCCCATCAGCATCTGAGAGATGAGAGAGAGTCACATCAGTGTGAGACGTGGCACCAACCTGCAGAAACTCAAAACACAATGTCATATTACAAGCATAACTCACGATGAAAAACAATAAAGTCTTGAGAGATTTAAGCAGACATGACCACACAACGCTTCGGTTTTAATGTTGAAAAGTGCAACATTTTTTGACCATTTTTAACAATCAGAAATTACATCCAGTGATGCAAGCTACTCGACTTTTTGAATTGAAAATATACATTATGTGAATATTCTGAAATAAGCAGTAGCATTTAAAAAACGTTAGACGAAGATCCAACTATTTCAGAAAAAAATAATTCTATGAATGATGTATAAATAATGTTTTTATGCTAGTATTTTTTTCTCTCTATATGCACAAGACACTTTTTATAAACACTCCCTTTTACAAGGACTTGATAAGAATAACGTTGACTTGTGAATGCACCACTTGCATGAGATGCAAGTAACTAAACATTTGTTTTTACCAATATCTATGATAGAAATGTTATTTAACAATAACCTCCAGTAAAGTAAAGTACTGAGTTTTTGAAACGTTCTGAAACAAGTATAGCAACATTTTTATAAAACATTAGACGAACGTCCAATTAAAACATTTCGGAAATAAATTGTTCCATGAATGATTTATAAATCAAGTTTTTTAAGAATATTATTAAAGACCAGATAACTCTGAATACATGTTACATTAACATACTTCTGTGATTAAAAATGTGAAACGACCAACAAAAATATCCAGTGACGCAAACTACTCAACTTCTTGAATTGAAAATACTGACTATTTATGATGTGTGTCGATCATAATTTAATGTGATGAGTCAAAAAAACATTAAAGCAGACATTTTTGATTAATACGACTGAATGTGTGCATATTTTCAAATAAAAATATTATTTGCAAATGTATTACTTATCAATAAATTCTTGTTCTTCCGCAGTTTTTTTTCTTAGTTTCTTTGTTTTGCTAAATCTGTACTGGGAATGTTAGAGGAACACTCTCCGAACACACAGGGCTGCCTCGCTTGCTGATATTAGGACATGGTTAGAGGTTTGGTGAAAAACTGATGTGAAATTTCCCGTAAACAAAGTCAGAAGCTTCTGACACTGCAATGACCTGAAAGACAGAAAATCCTACAGAGACACAGTGTTTATCAGTAGAAAAATGCAGGACCATGATGAGCATCAGTTCTGCCAAAACACTGAGAATCTACAGAAAAACCATGTTATGGTCTGATGATTGTTTCGTCTTCGGTCATCAGTTACGACGTGGATTTGAATCGGCTGAAGCTTCTGGTTCAGTCTGTGGATGCAGGAACAGGAATCTGGATTTTCGGAGTTTGAATGATGAATCAAAGCTTTAAATGATTGTTTCGCTTCATATGACCTCAATATATCATCAGGAGTCACGGGTATTAATTTTGTATTGCCTGTATGTGCTTTTTTGACTCTAAAAGTGACAGTAGCCATTGACTTGCATTTAATGAATCACCAAGGACCAAAATTCTTCTTTACTGTTCTACTGAAGAAAAAAGTCACCTACATCTTGGATGGCCTGATATTAAGTAAATATATGTGTGTGTGTGTGTGTGTGTGTTATTATTATTATTTATTTTTTATTTATTTTCCTTGAGGACAACCTATAGTATTTTTTTTGCACAAAAAATAGTCATATATTTCCAAAACATGTTTATTTTAAGAAAAGCTCTCTCAAAGTATGACACAATTGTACTTTTTGATGTTTTTGTTCTGCAGATGTACCGTATGAAGAAGACTTATTAAGTAAATTAACAGCACATTTTAATTTAAGGGTGAACTATCCCTTCAGAAAAACCTCTGAATGTAGTTCTATATTTGTTGTGTGTCTTTACTGACTTTTACACGTGCTCCTTCCGTCTGCTCTGCGTTGACATACGCACATCTTCACACACAGGTCAATAAAATCTCTACCGACATCTTCAGGCGAAGAGGATGAAGACGTGGCTCGTGAGCGTGAACGTGTGCAGAGGGGCGGAGCTCAGAACGACCTGCTCCGAATCTGTGACCTCACTAAGGTACTTCTTGTTCTTGTGACTTCAAGTCAAATTTCCAGATTCTTACTCTGAAAAGTGCCATAAAACGTGTGTTTTTGGGCAGTTGTCAGCTGATCAGGATTGGAGACCAGCTGGCCAATCAGATAAATAGACTGGTTTAAACCAGCAAACCAGCTTGTTTTTCAGTAGGGTTATTGAGATCAATACAGTTTTTCCAGACTTGATTCTTTAAAACACCCGATTTTTTTTGCAATTACAAAATTCTGGTGCCATTCATGATCACCTTTGTGAAATAAGTGTGCTTTATTGTGTTAAATGTGCACTTGTAATGTACTGTGAATCTTAAAAGTATATTTAAATATTGTTCTGCAGATGTACCGTATGAAGAAGACTCCAGCCGTGGAGAAAATCTGTGTGGGTGTTCCTGCTGCAGAGGTAAGTCACACACACACACACACACACACACACACACACACACACACACACACACACACACA